CACCTTTTCCTATGGGGTGGTTTTTCCCTTCTCCCGTGTTTTAGAGTGAGTGACCACACTTTATAGAACAGGGTAGTTCTATTGTAGCTTTGTAATGTCGAGACACACCTTTCCCTTGCCCCGTGGTAGCCACAATATATGTGCAGGAGAATGACAGATTTCTTTGTAAAAGAATCTTCTGTTGACATCCACCCTTAGAGTTTAGCTTTCCGCCTTGGCGCTCGGTTGAAATGAATCTATAGGGAGTGACCTCTAAACTTACCACTATATATTTAGTCTCAGACACCCACACACACACACACACACACACACACACACACACACACACACACACACACACACACACATATATATATTTTATATATATATATATATATATATATATATATATATATATATATATATATATATGTGTGTGTGTGTGTGTGTTATAATGTACTCACTCACTCGCTTACTCTCACACACACACTCACAAACAGACACACACACACATGCAATAAAACATAATCAATTGTTGGCTAATTTCATTTTAATTTACTTTCAAATGGCAACTGCAAGGTTCAAAGAAAAGCAACAGGTTTCTGAGGAAAGTTTCGGTCACCGGGTACTTTTCGGCTTTCGGTCTGCTTCCGGTAACTTGTTGATAACAAAATGGTGGCCAGTTCAAACTGCTGGGAAGCACGGAATCAGTCTACAGTTTACGGAATCCAGGCTGCTTTGGCTAGATGAGGAATTCTGATCCCGGAAGATAGAAATAGAATTTCAAAGGCAGTGTCTTTGAGGAGTTAAATCAAGAGCCGATCATGCCCAGGGCGGCCCAAAAGAAGGCACATGTGCCTCAAAAGAGGACAAGTTTTGGTAAGAGTCAGTAAGAGATGTATCATGTTGCAATCTCTAGATCTAAGTCTAAAGAGACTATAAATCTAGTTATAGATCTCTAGATCGTCTAGATCTAGATTCTACATCTAGATCTAGAATTTAGAGATCTAGATCTAATTTAGGTTGACATTTCTACAGGTCTAGACTAGATCTAGTTTCAGTTTCAGTTTCAGTCTCTATTCTGAGTGGCCACCTCTATTCTCACCCGGAGTGAGAATAGTGCAGGCGAGTCTTGTGGCTATTCTCACCCGGTGCGCGTTCACCAAATTTTGCGTTCACCCTAAACCACAGAATTCTACACTGTGATAACAGAAAAATTGTAGAATTCTGTGCCGTGAACAAACGTTCCATTACAATTGTAGCCTACTAAAAGCGTACAATTTTGTCTGTGGGCAGTGGAGAGAGAGAGAGAAAGAGAGGGAGGAGTAGCGCGAGAATTTCCGGGCAAAACAAAATGGCGACCCGCGTAGTTCAGCTCGATTCGAAAAGTTAAATAGCCGTAGCATCTTTGTAGACAACCAAATTTATTTACTTTTGTGTTTTAACATCATTTTTTAACTTTGTTTTGGTCAATTTGATCGTCCACACCGATAGACAGTATTCAGAAAGAGACGGAGAGAGAGAGAAGAGGGGAGGAGTTGATCTTGCGAGAACTTCCGGGCGGGTGAGAATAGCCACTTTCATTTTGAGTCTTGGTTGAGTAATCTATCTAGATTGACTAGATTCTCTAGATATAGTAGAGTGGTGCATGCCGCGCAGGGTTGGTGATTTTTTGGATAAAAATCGAAAAAATCGATTTTTTAAATTTAAATCAGATTTTTAAAATTTAGATCGGATTTTTTTGATTTTTAAAAAAATGTCGACACAGTTTGGGATTTTGGTGGCTAAAAGTAGATCTAGGGCCTATATGTTCTTTTAGTGCCAATTTAAACAACTGCTATTTTAAAAAGCCTTAATCTGCTATCAGTGAATTATGGCTACAGACAAAAAATGAAGAAAATGTCAGTATTATTTTACTAGGCTACTTACAGTGACAGGGGGAGGGAAGCAGACTTTTAAGCAATTTTAGTCTACTAAACCTTATATCTGTTTTATAAAACCCAGGAAAGGAATTCTGAATGTTTAAAGATGTAAAAACAGAAAACATTTTAAGTGATTCAAATCACTGAGTTTTATTTTTAAAATCAAGTTGATTTAAATTTTTAAAAATCAACTGATTTAAATCAACCCAACCCTGGTTTTCAATTATGACAAAAAAGTAAATTGAGAACTGTATTATTTTACAGTGACAGGGGGGAAAGCAGACTTTTAAGCATCATGATTATATTAGTCTACTAAACCTTATATCCGTTTAAAATAAAACCAAGGAAAGGAATTCTGAAAGTATAAATATATGTAAAAACTGAATACTTTTTTTTGAAAAGTGATTTAAATCACTGATTTTTATTTTTAAAATCAAATTGATTAAAATTTTTTAAAAATCAACTGATTTAAATCAACCCAATTATGGAAAAAAAAGTAAATTGAAAACTGTATTATTTTACAGTGAAAGGGGGGAAAGCAGACTTTTAAGCATGATTATATTAGTCTACTGAACCTTATATCTGTTTTATGAAACCAAGGAAAGGAATTCTGAATGTTGAAATGTGTAAAAACCGAATAAAAATTATTTTAAAAAAAAGTGATTTAAATCACTGATTTTTATTTAAAAAATCAAGTTGATTTAAATAAAAAAAATCAACTGATTAAAATCAACCTGATTGAAATCAACCCAACCCTGATGCCGCGATCTTTGAACCTATTTTCCACCGTTTCCGGCTTTGTACTTTTGTTTTTCGAAGTGACTAGATCTAGATCTATTCGGACTGGAGTCCGAATATATGAAAAAGGTTATTGTTAGGGGACCGTACGTCCCAATAGCGCTTGGCGCTAGGGGACCGTACGCCCCCATAGTGTTTGGCGCTAGGGGACCGTACGCCCAACTTGCGCTAAGGTTTAGTGTTAAGGAACCGTACGTAGATGTGCATGCATCTGGACTTTGCAAAAATACTGGAGGAAAACGGCCAGTTTAATTAACGAAGCTCCTGACGTTAGGAGTTATTACTAGGAGAATGTTTAAAATGTCTGAATACGATTGTGGGGTATCCAGTGGCGGTGGGTGAACCAAAATTTGAAATTGCTCACGTCTGCACCAACGTTGTTGTTAAGTGTCAATAAAATAAATCAAAGAGAGGGAGGGAGGGGGAGGGAGAGAAAGAGAGAGAGAGAGAGGGAGGGAGAGAAAGAGAGAGAGAGAGGGGGAGAGAAAGAGAGAGAGAGACAGAGAGAGAGTGTGTGGGTGTGTGTGTGTTTGTGTGTGAAAACACACAGAAAGGAAGTGAGAAAAAGGGGGAGAAAGAGAGGGAGACAAAGTGTGTGTGTGTGTGCGCGCGCATGTGAGCGTGTGAGAGAGAGAGAGTGAGCAAGAGAGAGAGAGAGTGAGGGGGGGGGGAGAGGTGGACGGGGGGGGGGGGATACTGCCTTTTTCAAAAACAGACAGAATTGAAGTGGGAAAGAAAGTGAAGAAAGAGCGGGAGAGAGAGAGAGGGGGAGACAAAGTGTGTGTATGTGTGTGTTTGTGTGTGTGTGTGTGTGTGTGTGTGAGAGAGAGAGAGAGAAGGGGGGGGGGTTCGTAAGACAAAGAGAGAGATAAACAAATGTACATAAAGGGAATGTTTTGGAGAAAAATGAGTAGGATAATACAGGTTTTGTGTGTGTGCTCAGGCGTGTTCTGGGTGCTGACGTGAGTACATTTTTAAAACTTTGCGACCTAAAATAAATAAGCCCGATTTAATGACGCTCGTAAACGCTGGGCATTTACTCACTTCTGCATGCAGAACCGGCCTGAGCACGCACTAAGTCTTGATAGCGCGCAGAACGCAAGATCAACTAACATTCAGTGACAATAACAATAACATGAAAAGAAAGGTTGAAGAAAGTACACGACAGCTTGGAAAAGGTAGATGAAAAGCAAAGCAAACTATTGTAGAGACTTGACAGAACGTCGGGTTGTAGGCTGGTAATATTTTGGCCGGATATGCCCTAACCTTGAACTAATTGCTTTAAAGCTCGTTTTATGTTTTTAAAACTGGAAATACATGATCCTTTTCACAAGCAAAAATCAATTGAGGAAAATGTAATGGGGCAAAATATGTTTTTTAGCGGAATAAAGGCAATGATTCAATTGCGCGGTCAAAATCGAATAATCGATTAAATCGGAAATAATCGAATAAATTCGTTTCAGGAGAGGGAATGGGAGGGCTTTGCTCCCCTGATTACGGTTAGTTGAGGGTTACGGTAGGGTTAGTTGTCCGAGTGCAGTGTTTTCTTGAAAACTTGATTTGCGACGCGTTTTATGGCCATACGAATTTATTCGATTATTTCCGATTTATTCGGTTATTCGATAGAGACAGAGACAGAAAGAGAGAGGGAAAGCGTGAGGGGAGCAATGTAATGTCTTCCCTCCTCACACACACACACACACACAGACACACACACACACACACACACACACACACACACACTGGCAATGAATATCCTTCGTCCCCATTCTTATTTTCCATGCGGCCATTGGCCGAAATGACGTTAGATCCAAATTAGTAGTATAAAACAGGTGTTCTCATAATTTCAAAATTTAGACAGAAGTATCAGAGAGAGACAGAGAGAGGAATACACGTGTTTGGACAAAGAGAAGTTCACGAACATACTTGTAGAAATAGATTCCAATTCGTCCAGTGGCAATGGTGTTACATGTATTGACTTTGACGTCTTTTCTCGGGATTCTCTTGGATTCGTCTCGCTTTGGTGTAGCTACGGCAATGATGCCCATGCCGTGAAAGGTATTGTGACCACGTATTGTTGCTGTGCTGTGGTCAGCATTGTCTGCCACAAACTGGACATTGTCACCCTCTGAGAGTGGCAGGAGGTCAGTGCCTTGTTCCACAGCTGCGTTCATCTCAAACTTACGCACCTCCCTGTATGACGAGCAGAAGCCAAGGTGATTGAGGGTATCCACCAAAAACCGCGATGCAAACATTTTGTGCATTTGGACAGCTAATCCGATCTGTAATGGGGCAAGAACTGCATTGGGTCGGGTAATCTGCATCATGGCTTGTCCTATTGCAGCAGTTTTTGTTGGAAAGTCTTTCCCCTTGAAAATATTTGAAATCAGGACATGGAGTGATTCTGGGAGGAAGAACAGCTGGTCTTCTGCACCAATGTCTGGGTAGGTGTCCTTTGAACATATTTTTGTCTTGATGTCACCACGGATGAGGCTTGC